GATATACATTTAAAAATAATTATATTTCAAAATGATCATTACCGGACTAAGAAAATGAATTGATTAATTCATAGATGACGATCTTGTAAATTATTCTGAAGATGAAACACCTATCCAACGGGATATGTCTAAAAGGCCACCAGACTGGATCACTAAAAGAAAGATAACTCCAGATGGTGTTCCAATTTATTCGTATGGCCCAAAAATTGTTCATCAATGGTCTCGTGATATGATGCTCTTGTTTTTGGATTGTATCGAAGAAAATTTAGATGTATTTTGGAAACATACATACATGTTTTGGACCTGGTTGGCAAAGAACGTATTCACCAATAAAACTCCAGAAGCACTTTCTCAAAAATTTCGTCAACTGAGACCAGACAATAAACAAATAAGAAATTTCAAAAAGAAGCCAGAAAATGCAAAGTTGATTGAAAAAATCGAACGACTTTATCAACTTTTAAATGAAAAAAGGACTTGGTCACGAGATCGTGATGTGAATGTGAATTTTAAATATCCACCTGGGTACAACCAAGAAGAAGCAAACTCGGAAAATAATATAACCAAGCCTCTGCCTACAGTTTCGCTCAAAATTGATGAATCTCATTTAAAATTAGCAAAGCATTTGCTTAAATACAGTCGATCAGACGATAATGCTGATGAATTGCGGTAATTTATTCACTTATCATTTCATAAAAAAATATATTTGAAACATATACTTACTGCATATTGTGCTATTTATTGTAGTAAATGCTTCGGTACCTGTGAAAAAATACAATGGCCCCAGTTGAAAGAAAATCTAGCACCGTATGTTAAGTTTTTTTTTTAATATATATATATATATAAAATATATTATTTGAATTAACATTTAAACACTTTAAAAGAGAGCATGTGAAATGTGAAATATTTGACTGTACAGATCGAAGAGTAACTATTGCTCCCGAATTAGAAAAAGTATTGTTTATGAGACCTAAAAGCTCAAAAACACTTTCAAAAACGGCGGATGCTTCCATTACGTTATATACTGATGAATCAAGACTCGAATTCAAACCATTGATATATACACTTAATGAAGACTTAAATAAGAAAGATGATTTGATGTCCCAAGAAATTGGATTCGTTACTGATATGGTGAACAATTTTAATGAGCAAAGTACGAAATATTTTCGACCTCCAACTCTAGAACTACGAAATGAAGCTGATGATTATATGTTCAGTATGCAAAAGTACCATGCAAAT